ACTTTTTCAATACATCTTAAAACAAACACCGCAGTAGTAGACATTTTAAGTGCCCCCATGGGCCTTTCCCTCCCACCTACACCCTCACATCACATTCCGGGCCCTGGGTGGGATGTGTGCCCCACCCATGCATACCCTCCAAGGAAGAACCAGAGGTGGCTTGTTCTGGGCAGACCCTTCAGAGGTGGCTGCCACAACACGGTCACCAGAAGCATCTTAGAATTAGACATATACATGATGCAGTCAAGGTTGCGGAGAGCAAGAGAATCACATCCTAACGGGAATATTTCTTTAAGCCAAGGGTTGAAAAACTGGCCTGCAGGCCCACTACCAGTTTTTGTAATTAAGTTTTCTTGGGGTGTGGCCACACTCAATTGTTTATGTGTTGTCCCTGGCTAATCTCACTGTACAAAGGCCCAGTAGTTGCTAAGCCCGAAATGCTTACTGTTTGACCTTTTATGGGAAAATCTGTGGACCTTGTTTGCGGACCCTGCTCTAGGCGATGTATTCTCCATCAGAAAGTCAGTTGGTAAACACCAATCCATAGGTGATGTGGACATCACCTATGATTGTGATGATAAGTAGATTGGAATCAAGCTTGATTCCGTTCCATTTAACCAATATTTATTTTCCAAGGGGCTACTCTGTGACAGCCCTGCCTAGGGCCTGGGTTTACACAAGTTAATAAAGCTTGGCCCCTTTTCCTTGGAGGAGTCAGGATGTAAACTAATAATTTCAATGCAACTCAATAAGATGTTAGAGTAGGATTTGATGTTTTATTCTTCCTATAAAGTAGACCCTGGAAACTTGACCTTTTTGTTTCTTAAAACTTTGAAATTCTAAAACCATAACCATGGGCTAAGATCTCTCTCTTTTTTTTAAAAAAGCATAAACACTAGAGGTGAAACTCTAATTCTGTGAAATTACTCATTAACTTTTACAGGGAAGATCAACTTATTGAAATTTTTCATAATTGCCAAATTTGCTCTGGGCTTTGTAATGCACAGTTCTAATCTCTTATGTTGAGAATGGAAAAAAGAAAAGGTATTGAGATATCAAGGGAAATATGGTCATTTAAAGAGCTAGGCTTGTTTTTTAAGACTGAGTTTTTAAATTGGAATCTGTATTAACTGGGTCACATATTAACCTTCTTGCTCAAAGAGACAGGAGGGACGGAGACAATGTCTGGGCTCAACCAAGGTTTCATTATCTACTACCTGTCTTTGCAACTCCAACTAGGTATCAGGCGAATTAAGGGGAAAACCAATTTCTGCATCCCTTGGATGTGATGAAATTGATTATCCTCAGGCGGAGCAAAAGAAGACAGAAAATGATGGGTGCCGCTTCACATCTGTGTATCTGTCCTGCCCTGATAACTGTTTATTTGTACCAGCTATTGACAACGGTTTTGTATCATACAAAGAAGGGTTTTTATTGAGCTTCCAAAGTAGAAGCAGGATGCATCCGTTTCTAGGGAAACCTGTGCTTGGAAGCTCGTGGGTTTCGATTCACAGAATGCATCCTCACACGCACGGTGGCCCACCGTACAGTGACACCCCTTCCTCCTCATGTACCTCATCCCATTTTACAAAAATTAATGCAACAATGGGAGATGATTGTTGATGCTCATTATTGAATCATTTATTCATCCCACACAATGATTCAGAATTATTCATTGAGCTTGCTGGAAGGAAGCTGGGTTCTACCTCCATGGTGGTTTGGGGAGGGATGTGCTCTTTAAAAGGATATTTTATAACAACACAATTATCATAATTAAAAGCTACCCTGATATCCTGATGAGCTTTTGACATATTTTTAAGTATTGGCATTTCAGCACAAGGAGATAAATGAGACTGAAATAGTATTAGGGAATAATATTGCTGAGGGGGGGGAAGCAGGAGGCAATATTAAATACCATCTGCCATCATCACCCCCAATTTTATCCCAGTCTTCAAGTTAATGATTTTTACAAAATACCGCTTGAACTTCTGGCTTTCCAAAATGAGTTCCAATTATACTGCTGTGTCCCAAGCCGTTCTCTGCATTACTGAGTCACGGATGTGTACAGTCCCCACGAGAGCCCACCTATCTGTGTTCAGCCTACGACGGAGCTGTGTCCACATCTGATTTGGATCTCTTTCTGATGTTGTCCAGGGTTTGTTCTGTGTTTCAGAGGGCATTAAGTGAAGGGTCTGGTTTGCAAGCTACTGACACTGACAGGCGACTGCAGGGAGGGCTCCCATCTCCCTGGTGAAGACCCCCTGGACGGCGGCCACGAAGAGGCACCTTCTAATACCTGACGGAGGTGGCTGGGGGAGATAGAAGGGAGGGGACGCTTGGAAAGAGAGAAAGACTGCTGAGTGACCCCGAGAGACAGCACAGGGACAGGAGCAGGGAGACACACAAGTGGAGGCCCTGGAGGCCATGTGTTGGGAGCTTGATGGGTCTGGGACTTGCTCTGCCCCGTGCCTGGCACCCAGACAGTGCTAAACAGACAAATGAGCTGCGTCGGTCGGCCACCGAGGGCAGGGGTGCGAGGCAAAGACTTTCATTCCTTCACTCATTCCACAAACACTGATGAAGCATTTAATGTGAGCAAATGCCTGAGCCAGGCCTCCCGAATGCAGAGATGGACGCAACCCTGTTCTTGCCAGGGAGCTGAGAGTCTAACGGGGGATTCAGAGATGTCAATGCTTGTAAATCTGTTTGACAAGTGCTGGGATTGAGGAAGAACCAGGTACGGGGGGAGAACCTCATACAGAAGAGGTGCCAAAGTTGAGCGGGCTTGGCCAGGTGACGCAGTGGAGGCTGGAGGGGAAGGCACTGGATGGGGCAGCGAAGAGCTGGGCCTTACCTGGGGGCGAGGGGAACCTCTGGAGGGTTCGGGCTGTGCAGCTCACGCCCCCTGGCTGCCAGGTGGACAATGGACTAGAATGAGCAAGAGTGGAGCAGGGAGCGCAGTGCAGAGCTGATGCCAGGACCCAGGCGAGGCCATGGGGGCCTGAGGAAGTAGACGGGCTAGAGAGATGTGGAGGAGGTATAATTAAAGAGCCGCGGGATATCTGAGTGCCCCCACCCCCATCACCCCTGCAAGGGGGCTCCAACTGGAGATGGAGGCATCAGGATTCTGGAGTCTGATGCTGTTAGAGTAGAGACAGGTCACTAACCCCCTGCTCTGTCTCAGGCCTACCAAACAACCTCCTGATTACAATTTGGCTTCCCATGTAGCTCTGCCTATGGGAAGAGACTGCGCTGCCAGGGCAGAGGGGAGGGCTTCGGGCTTGCTTTAAACTAATCAACTGGCATTCTGGTTGTAGAAATCAGTCTCTGAGCTGGGATAATTGGAGCTCACCTGCAGACACAGACCAGCTCTGGGTGTGCTGACAGCTTAGGTTCCTGAGCTAGCAGGGCTGCAGCCCTGAGTGGGCGGGCAGGGGGGCTGGTGCACCCTGGACGTGACACTGCCCTCTGGGGCTCTTGGTGGGTGGTCACCAGGCTTCGCCTCACGGTGCCCTGTTAGAGCTGTGGGTCTTCTCCTATCTGGGGGTGCTCTGTCGTATGATGGGAAATCCAGAACCGCAGGCCACTCAGGAACATGGCTGGCGAGAACGCAGAGCAGAGAGCAGAGAGCAGTCGCTGGGATGACATTTGCATCATTTAACATTTGATGTGAAAGGAATCATTTCAGTGGCATTAAATGTTCTCTCTGGCTTTATTCTCTGTTACAAAATAGTCTCCACGGTGGCACTGATGCTGTCTTGACACTTTGTTTCCTTGTCATCAGAACATTTTTCTGCACCAACTCAAGCATGGCATGAAATTTCAAAGGTCTTAATAGAAGTTTTCCAACTTTATCTCCATGGAACAGTTGGAAAATGTCTCCAATTATGTGAGCGTTTTGTAAAATGTCTCAAAAATACAGAAGGGTCTATTATACTTTTCTCGAGCAAATGCAAACACATTTAACACTCAAAGATGAAAAGAAGAGGATCGGAGTTCTTTTTTTTTTTTTTAAATGAATACTTGCTACTGGGTCAAGCCACCTCCTTTCCTCTACCCCATAACAAATAAATGCATATATTTAACCTTTAGAAGTGTTTGATACAACGAAGCCCTGGAAAGGTCCAAAAGGAGGAACTAGGACCAAGACCAGAGTCACAACAGGTGTCAAAATTGGAATCCTGTCAAGTCACCAATAACCCAGGGAACCGGCCTAGAACACACTGTATCTCTGAGCCGATGGAGGTGCTGCCTGGAGCAGAGAAGTGGTGTTGGGCTAGTGTCATGGAGCGTGCCGTCAGAAGCGGAGGTCTCACCTCCCCGAATGGGGTGTCTTCATTCTCTGTGTGTGCATGCATGTCCCATGTATGATCAGCTAAAAATCTACAGCAGGGTAAGATGAACTAAAATACATTTCTGTCTCCTGATTCTGGAAGAGAATTTAATCCACTCACTAGGGGAAAACTGCCAAGGCCCTGGGATCTGCCCACTAAAGCCACATCCTAGTATTTCCTGGGTTACAGCTGTCTCATACCGGTAGGAAGCCTGGCTCTTAAAGGTCATCTGTTGTTGAGCAAGTTCTTGCAGCCCAGAGAAATGAGAAAAGATGGGTCTCCCAAGGCACATGCAGCCACATTCAGATCCACCTACCCCTCCCCCCACCAAGAACTTCGCACTTCCAGGACTCCCATCTTCAACTGTGAGCAGCTACCACATGTGTAGTACTTGGTAGGCTAGGGGATGGTCTACATGCTTTATAGTATTACCCACATCCATCCTGTAAGAGAGACACTACTATTGGTCCCATTTCACAGATTAGGAAACTGAGGCTTAGAAGGATGAGGCAGCCAGGCAGCCAGGGAGTGGCAGAGTTGGGATCAGAACCCAAAGCCCCATCCTCTCTCCCCTTTGTCAGGTTGCAGAGGGGCCGGAGAAGGATCTGGAAACTCCCTCTCCAGACCGCCCTTCCACCCAGACACCTGTGGCCCTCTGGCCGCTACCTGCTTTGGTGAACTTGTCTGCCATCTCTTTGCGCACGGACTTGCTGAGGTTGAAGTAGTCGTCGTCTTCGTCGATGCTCTGCAGGAACAGCGGGATGTGCTGGAAGACAACGGCGTGCTGGCAGCGCCGCTGCTCCGCGATCCTCAGCTGCTGGTCCAGCCACTGGTCCTGGGCCTGCTTCAGGGCAGGGCACCTGGAGGCGTCGTACAAGAACTGGGAGTTGAGGACCAGGAAGAGGACGCCCCCGACCCAGAAGCTGAAATAGTCGTCTCCCCAAGTCTGGCAGAACTCCTCGACGGTCTCGGCTGTGGGGACATTGCCCACGTCGTGGTTACCGCTGACGAGAACCAGGGGGATCTCCCGGTCAACCGCCCTGAGCACCCGCTGCAGGTCCTCCGTCTGCTCCTTCCGCCAGGGTGTCCCTGGAAAAGGGAGGATCATGTCCTGAGATGGCCAGAGGCTGTTTATGTCTTTGCTAACATACAGTCAAAAAAGAAAAGAATCTAGAAATCCACTCAACCCAGCATGTGGAAATTGCAAAAAGTAGTCAGACACTAAAAGCAAATCAATAAGTGGGGTGAGTGCCTCTGTCTGTCCCTTTGAGTTGAAAGACTCCTGTCCTTCCCTGGATACCTTGGAAGTTCATCATCTATGTGGCCACTGCCCCACGTTTGCTGAGTGACGGTGTGCGGTCAATCCTGATGGTAAATATTAGTGAAGCTTAATTTCTATCTTTTATTTCAACGAACGCTAAATGTAGGCCTGTAACAATGGTTCATGCCTGTAATCCCAGCACTTTGGGAGGCTGAGGTAGGAGGCTCGCTGGAGGCCAAGAATTCGAGGCCAGCCTGGGCAACATAGTGAAATCCCATCTATATCAAAAGAAAAAAAAAGTGCTAAATACAGATAGTTGTAACTTTTCTCCCCCAGCTCAACAGCATATCCTGTGTACCCTTGTGATGTATGGACCCAGCTTTAAACACTAGCCCCACACCAATGGCTATTTTAAGTTTTTCTTACCATACACATGGCCTTACAGACTGTGTGAGCAACTTTATAGGAAAAAAATCCTTAGACACTGAATGGCTAGAGCAACTGACATGGGCATCTCGCCCAGTGCCCCCTACAGAGGAAGAGGCACTTTATATTCCAACCAGCGTATGAGGGCACAAGGGCTCAACATGCTACAGTTAAGCATATTCCCTTCCGCACACGGGACTCAGAATGGAAATGATTATTTGGACAAAGAGTTGGAAAGAGTGCGGGCAACCAGCACCCGCCCGCTTCAGATTGCTGGCTCCCACGCTTCCTGTAATAATGTCTTAAAGCTTTTAATGAACGGATTTTAAAATGACCCATTCAATTCCACATCTGTTTCTTTGAGCCTCTTTATGGCAATTTATTCAACAAATATTTATTGAGTGCTGACTATGTAAAAGGCACTGATTTAGTTACTGGGGATGAGCCGTGAGCTAAAGAGACACAAACCGTTCCCTCTCCACCGAGGAGTCAGATAATTTGTCGAGTGAACTACAGATGCGCACCCATCTGTGTCGGATGGTACTAGGCGTTACTGAGAAAGCAACAGGGAAAGGATATACTTCTAGTACCACGTGAGTCCCGAGGAATGTGCTGGTACCAGGCAAAGACAGCACAGAAAAAATGAGGAAAAAGAGCTGCTCACCTTCCCCAGGGATGCTGAAAACTCACCTGAAAAATGCTGCATAAGCAGAGGAAAGCTGTACCCAACGTTCCATCACGAATTAAAAAGAAAGCGAAAAAGTCCTTACGAAGCAATTACAGGTAATAAAGACCAGGAAGCAGAAACAAAGACATTCAGAGTCTAGACAGTCCTAAAACAGGCAGCTGTGAAATTGGAATTGATAGAACTCAGCAAAGAAAAAAGACAAAACTCTTTCACAAATGACAACTACAAGGAGATGACTATTACTGAGATTTCCTTTACGGCCAAGTATGTGCCGGGTTCTCTAAATCTCCCGTGTGAGCTTGCAAAGAACGCGCATCCTCTAATTGCTGAATATTGAGCTCTGCGATGCCCAGACTGCACATTTCCACTCAATCAAATTTATTAACGCTGCAGTTCAAATCTCCTGTATCATTATTCTTTTCTTTTGGCCTGTTGATCTATATTAGTTTCTGAGAGAATTGGTTAAGTCGTCACTGTAATTGTATACCAATCCATCTCTCCTTGCAATTCTGCCAGGGTTCATGTCGTTTATTTTCAGTTACACTGTGAGATGTATTAGAGTCCAGAATTCCAATATATCACTGAAATGTTTTTACATTTAATCCTAATAAAGTAAGTGAATAAAAGGCTAAGAGAAAGGTGATCTATATTGATGCTACGGCAAGGTCTTTAATATATATTAAGTAAAAATGTAAGGCACGGAGGAGTAAAATCACATATAAATTTTTAAAAGCCTTATATATATTCATGTATTATGGATAGACCTTTTCCAAAGATTCAAAGAAAACTGTTAACTCTGGTTAAATCTGGGAAACAGAAGCGGAGAGTGAGGGAGACTTACATTTGGTTTAAAACCCTTTACACTACTTTCCTTCCTTCTTTCCATCCTCCCTTTTCCCAAGTTTATGTACTGTTGTCACTTAAAAATTAAAAAAGAGGTGCTTTTAGCCCCAGGAGCCTAGGGCTTAAACAAGATCCAGAGGAAGCCAGTCAGGCGGCTGCACTGCAGCCATTTCCGACCTCTGAGGACCAGGGGACCTGGCTTGGGAAAGGCTGGCTGACGCTGGCCCCCCATAGCAAGAGCTGGGGTCTGAAGCCCAATCTGCTCAGGTGAGGAGGAGGCCAGACAGCCTCAGCCTCAGGGCAAAGAGGTCCTGCCTGGCACTGGGGACCGGGCGGCCCCTCTCACGGTGGTGCTGGGGCTTTGCCAACAGTCAGCGTCTGCCTCGTGGCTGGTCGGGGCCGGCTCTGGGCTCCCAGTCCGAAGGTGCCATTGATGGATGTTGCTTCTCTAGCTGAACCCGGACTGCAGGCATCCATGCCGACTTATGTAATCCTCTCTAAGACTCTGTCGGTCCATTCTTTTCCCATGTAAATAGACTGCCAATTTAGGGAAGACAAATCCTTTGTGGCTTTGAACATGATAAACCCTCTCCAAAGGCCTCTGTGGACCAAGGCTAATCCGTCCCTACTTTCCTTATCAGGTTTTCTAAAAGACCTCGAAGACACCCCTCTCTCACTCTTCTTCCTATTCATATTGACTTGGGGTTTTGGATATGCAGTCATAGCTGTTATTTATCGGCACCTACAGCGGGCCAGGCACTGTTCTCAGAGCTGTGTGTGTATCGACTCGCTTTAGCTGCACGACCAGTGGAGAAGTTGGGATCTGAACTCGGTGGTCTTGCTCAGGGTCCTACCTCTCATTACGGTGTCCAGGTAGCACATTAGGGTGCCACCTCCCAGGGGCACTTCTCTCGGCTGCCCTGATCCACAGGATGAGGACTTTATAATACACTGGGGTACAGAGCATCTCCCATCCTTGATTTTCAAAGAGCATTCACCACGGTCCTTCACATGCTGATACGGGGAGTGTGCAAGTAGTTAACAACCACAAACAGAAAAGTTGAGAAATGAGCACTTCAAAAGAAAGGCTTACTCAAGATGTGGGAAGGAGACCTTGTCTACAAAGAAACCTACAGGGAAGAGCTGGGAATTACACATAGCAATGGGACGTTTGTTTTCAAACGTCAGAGGCATGCTGCTTTTGGGGAAATCATAAACATCCCCCAATAACCTGTTAAAAAACATGAAGCCTATCTTCCCTGCGTCTCTTCAATCAAAGATGAGCCTCCCTCTTATGTAGCTTTTCCAGTATTTTCTATACCTCTTGCATGGAGTCACCAGGGCTTGGTTGGTGGCTCTTGTCCCTGACAAACTGAATGGCCATGGGTAAGTCCCTTGGTTCCTCTCAGCCTTAGTATCATCGTGTGTGAAATGGGGAGGATAATTCCACATCCAGGAGGGGCTGTAAGGATTCATTCCAAGATAATGATGTCCAGAGTCTGGTACAAATAAGTACGTCAAAATGTTAGCTGTCTTCTCTCCACACTCCCCCTCGAAAGTAATAAATTCTTCCATTTTTATCAGTGATCTACTGTGTGTGCGAACAATTAGTAAGTCATTTCTGAAAGAATGAAAACATTCCCCAGGGATATAAATACTTTTCAGTTAAGAATTTAGAAGTAAAGGAGTAAATTCTAGGTTACAAAAAGCCAAGTTTAATGAAAACATTTGCATTATGTTTAACAAGCTTTCATCTGTGTGTGTCAGAATCTCTTTTGGGTCAGAATTTCAATAACACCTTAGCATTAACAGAGCTCATAGCACATCTTAGCAGAGCTTCTAAGAAACAGTCATAGTATTGTAGCAAGTGTATGGAGAACCCAAAGCTGAGAGCCAAACCTCACCAGCAACACGAACAGAAAAAATGGAAAACCTAGCCAAGGACACGGAGCTTCCATGAGTTTCTTAAGTCTCAAGCAGGGCTCTGTGCTTGACAGAAGGGATGTCTACACAGAAAGAATGTGGAGGGAGATAGGAACAGAAGGGAAGACTTTGAAAAATTGCAAGAAATGACTTAGAACAGGGAAAGAGAAGGATCGTTTGGGGCAGGTCGCCAAGGTGGAGAGGCACCTGCTGAGAAGTGAGTACCGAGAGAACAGGGACCCCCACGTCAGCACACGCCTGCCCCCACGAGGGGACCCTGGACGGGAATGACAGGTGCAGTGTGGAAAGCTGCGAGGTGTTTAAAACATTTTTTGAAAATTTTGAAAATGCAATAGGTTGAAGTAAAACTAGGAGGTAAAAAGCATTATAACGATACAAAATTCTTGTTTGTATTAGCGGTACCATGAAATGCATGATTTATTTTTGTCAATATTCATTGAGGTAGACATTAGTATCTTGGCTGTTTTCCAAATAGCCTTAAAACACATTGTCTAATAAAATCTCTCAGCAAACTAGGAAGAGAAATAAACATCCTTAACTGGATAAACGACAGCTATTAAAAAAACGTATAACATCACACTTAACGGTGAAAGATTAAACGCCTTCCCCCTAAGATCGGGAACAAGGCAAGGAGGGCTGCTCGCACCTCTCTCACTGCAGGTCACCCTGGAAGTTCCAGCCAGTGCAAGAGGCAAGAAAAAGGAAGGAAAGTCATACAGATTGGACAGAAAGAAAAAAAACTATCTATTCCCAGAAGACATGACTGTCTCCACAGAAAATCCCAAAGAAGCTACGAAAAACAAAATAATCCTACATGAAGTATCTCAAGGATGGAAAAACAAACACATGTACCCTCTAATAAATTAGAACTAACCGATGAACACAATGAGCGCACAGAAGGAAGTAAAACTCATTGGAAATCAAGCA